AATGACAATGAAAATGAAAACGAGTGATCAATCCAATAAGGAAAACAGAAAGCATTGAGCGTGAAGAACTTTTGCTGCAGAAAAAGGTTCGCAGGGTGAAAAGTCGGCTAAAGTCGGAAGCGTCGAGGAGGAGAGCGTGAGCGAGAGGGTGAATGAGAACTTGGCCTCCTCGTCAAGGTCGAAGGTGGAGCCGAATGAGTAGAAGGAGGGACGCAAGGAGGAGAGGGAGCCGTGGTCGTAGTCCTCGTCGTCGTCCCAGGTGGAGAAGGAGGAGACGGATAGAGAAACAGACGGGGCCGAGGTGAAGAAAGGGATGTAGAAAAGGAGGTCGAACGGCCAGTAGGATGTGGTAGTCCCAAGATGGAGTAAAGTTCATCGGTGTAGACCTACACTGCAGATAGATCGTCGAATCTGTTCAATGCTGGTCTCCAGTGCGCGAAGGGTAGCGCTGAGGCGAGGGCAGGTAATCGTGTCCACAATGGAGGAAGTGACTGAGTCCATAGGTCCACGCAAAATCAGGAGAATCAAATGTAACGATGAATGTATGTGAAGAAGTTCACGATGAAGTACCTCATGAGCAGCAGCAGGTAGTCCAGCGATGGAAGCCGATCCCGTAGGTCCGGTCGGTGTCGTTGTAGGTGGCATCGACATGGCGGCAGCAGGAATCGAAGGGACGAGGAGTGGAACGTAGGGAAGCTGAAAGCCACAAGAAAAATGTGTGTAGAAATAAGATGTAAGAGGTAATGTGCCAAAGTTCAGGAACAGGTTGATAACACCAAAGGAGGCGGTTTTTTTCGAGGGATCGGAAGAATGAACAAAGAAAACCTAGAGATTCCTAGGGTTCGAACGAGGGTGAGACCGAGAACGTGACGGCGCTGTACTGGATCGATTAATCACAGGTCTGCGTATCGTAGTAGGTCTCGGCGATGCCGTCGGAAGGGATCTGGTAGAGGTCATAGTTCGAGTCATAGTTGAACCCAAAGGAGTGGAAAGAGACGGAAGGCGAGGGTCAGGGAAGGTAGAGCATCCTCGTAGTTCGGCATCAACTTGAGTGGTGTCGCAATTCAAAGCATGTATCATCCCAAAGGTAGTGAGGAGTTCATTGATGTAGTGCACTCCATTATGGATTGCTTGGGTCGCCTGTCGAATAGCTGAGTCCAGGCCTCGAATCTGAAGCTGAATATGTGGAGAAGTAATGTAGTCCATGAACGAAGGTTGGAGGATAGCAAAGCGAGTGCGAAGAAGGGAGGTAGCAAGAATCAGCAGACCATGTAAATGAAGTATCTCTCGATGTAGGATAGCCTGGGCCCTCGTCGTAATGCCGTCCACAGGATGGAGACCAGCCGGAGAAGGGAACATGGCGAGAGGAGGATGGCGAGAGGAGGAGGATCAACTGAAAAGCTAAGGCTCCAACAGGTTCCAATGAACCTTGAACAGGCTTCGGCCGCTGCGGCCACGTACGCCGTGCCAAAATGGCTGGCTGCTTAGACCGCTGCGGTCACGTAAGGGCATAAGCCAACTTGGAATTCCAAAGATGGGACAAAAATCATCGGACGTACGGCCTAGGCCGCCTACGCTCGCTGCAAGCTGCTCTGTATCCGGGCAATGGATACGTTCGACGTACACCCGTTCAACGGGTCCACGGGAGGCACTCTGCGGGCTCATCCCGGGTTGGCACGAGGCCAAACACACTTGAGATATTGTGTACGGAACTGAATGCGGTGCCACACGCCGGCCTGGGGTTCCAGTTCCTAAGAGTACAGGTAAGGAAACCTAAAAGGAAGAAGGGAAACCTAAAAGGAAGAAAAGGTTCGTCCAGCGGAAGGCCCAAAAGTTTCAGGAAAGACCGAAAGCCAAGGTCTCCAAAGCTCAACGACGGTGAGGTCAGCACTAGACAATTACTGCACAACAAAGAATGAGACAGCTTTGCATTTACGTAGGTTCATCTCAAAGCAGGTACGTCAATCCGGTGTCCCGGATTGATTTCACAGACCGGTGCAAGCGTCTTTGTTAGTGCCAGACTTGCACGGTCCCTGGCACCCCCTGCTGTAAAATAAAACAAATGCAAATGCATCCCTATGACTCCAAGGGTGACACACACACATCACGCAGCCTGCCAAGCAGTTTCGCGATTCCAGCCCCTCCAAACAACACCCGCACACTGTGCACGCGCCAATCCCAACGTCACAGCGACATTCGCCTCTACCACAACTCACAACCTCACGATTCGCTGCGCCTGCCACGAAAATCGCCCTTCCACACCTCAAAGCCCGCACAAAGTACTGCGCCTGCCACGAAAAGCGACAATATCACATCATGTGAGCTTTAACAAAATTTGCACCGCGCCACACGCTTGGAGTGATTTCGACTCGTTCTGAGCACCATCCACCGAAATCGCCATTTCAGCTGAGACTTGTCACGAAAACAAAGCTTCGACGCAACACCCTGAAACGCAAACCCCCATGGCACGGCCACATCCAACAGTTTTCTGCGGATCTCACAAAACGCTGCGCCTGCGCAGTGAAGTCAGTTTCAACATCTTACATTTCCACACGTTGCCACGCTATTTCACACGAATCTGACACGTCACGTTTCCATCCGAAACCCTCTCCAAAAGCTTCCCCCAATGGCAGCGCCTTAGCGTCCTACTGCGGTCGGCGCGAACGGTTGCGGACAGTTGCGAACGCTGACCCCAGAGTTAAACGAGAACCCTTCGCTACGCATTCGGGAATAAACAACATTTTTCTTTGAATGGGCAACATCTCACAGAGGGTAGCTGAATATAGCTGGCACGATGCAGCTCCTTCTTGAGCTTCAACCACTCCGCAGTTCGAATCCCCGGCCTAAACGCTCGTAGAGGTGCGATGACCATAAGCCACACATGAGACACACACAAACACACATGCACACGGTGGTACTTTTGGAAAAATACCCTTCAACTGCATTCTTGGCCTCCCTACAGTACGCCCTTCTCGAGAGGCACCTCCAGAATGCAGCTTGCAAAGCCCGTCCCATCCCAAGAAACACCAACACTGAAAAACATGAATTATTATGAATGCAAAGTCAGTATTGTATCTGCCTCAATGGCACCTTCTGATGTAGTGCATACAGCCTTCCACCAAAAAGGTCAACTCCACAGCACAAAGTATAATAAGTATATAAACAAAAAAGCTTCGCACAAATGAGAACTTGATCGGTCAGTGAAGACCCGGACGCTGGACGCTCATCTTGGGCACATGTCCTGGCAGCAACTTCGTCTTGTAGCTGTCAGGTTGCCCGTTGGCAAAAAGCAGCTGCCATCCGTTCTCTTGCCTTCGCTACCTCCACACAAAGCCCAACCTCAAAGCCCGCGCCAATCCTTGGAGGACTTGCATGGATGAGGCAAGAACATCCAATTATGTGAAACTTTTGTGACATCCTGCAATCTCAAAGTCCAGAATGGGCTCTGGGTCGGAGCACCCAAAAACCTCATTGTGTGCCTGACTTGGCACATAAAATATCCTAGACACTGAGATGGTTCTTTGGGGTTGCCTACGGAAGCTGCGCAGTACAGCTGAGGGTCAAATCCTGATCACGATCGGGTGTTCTTGATAGAAGAGTCAGGATTGAAAGCTATCGCGGGCCGGGACTGATTGGACATCTAGAATCTAGACCTGCTGAAACACTTTGCCGTTTCTAAAAACTGGCACTATTATTGCCTTGGCACCCTCGTGTACGAGCGAAACTTTCTCAAGGCTTTCGCGCGTTGTCCAAATTCCTTTCTTGATGGTTTTTGACGCTGCTCAGTTATCCTTCAGGAAGTCACCGGTGCATGTCATCCGGGCCGAAGAATCAACATGAACCAAAATGCCTTAAGGATGCCTGAAAGTGAACTTCACATTTAATTTACTGGTCAAATCACCCTGTTCGGATCATTTTGTCCAAACACAACACACTGGTCCAAGAGTCAAAGTCATGTTAGATGGTGCCAAGTTGGCAAAGCCACCCGTGAAGTCTGGCAGCACATGGGCCATGGCGTTCAGGCAGTCCTCCTGCCCGTCTAACTTCATTCAAGAAGCCTTGCTTGCAGTCCATACTTCAAACAAGATGGTCCAAAATATTATATCGGTGACGGGTCAATGAATGGAAAAGCCAGTGAATCTCTCCCAAAAAAATCCAACTGGACAAGGCTGTTCCCCTGCCTGAGAGTGGAGGCCGGTGGCCTTGCCCCTGTCCCCTGCGTTCACCTGCCCAGCATCTGTTCGGGTTCTACACAAACTACTTAGGACACGGTTTTGTGTCTTAGCCAGCTTGGGGAGAGCACCGTACCGGTGGTTTGGAAGCTCCCTTTCCATCACAGCAAGCTCAAACTGCACCAAGCTCGATCTCCTTTTCCTGGCAGAAAGCGGTCAGGACAAAACAACAAACACCCACTCTGCAACAAGTCAAACACCAAACCTGTACACCAAAGGCATACAAACAAAGGCGCTTCTGCGTCTACTCCCAGGCTGCCTGCTTCCCAGTGCCTGTCTTTGAATATTTTGCAGAGCAGCGCCTAGCTTGTGTCAGCATAGCAACCAGTTGGCCAGAATGATCGGCAACCATGGACAAGCTTGCTCACGATGTGACCCCTTTGCGCCTCAAACTCACCATAGTTCCATCCGATGCCAGCTGCTTTTGACATCTTAACCACAGGCCTGTTCTTACGCTCCACAAACCTTGTTTCTTGTTCGTTGCCTCCCCCTCATATGCACCCAAAGGTGGATCGTGGGCATCATGTTGTCAAATTGTCAGCCTTAGATGCTCTGTCGACAACTCTGCCCGCTCCGGTTGATCCTGAAAGGCACGCGGTACGGAACGCAGGCAAATCAGGCATCTGCAATGACAATCCGAATGGCAAACAGCTGCCAGCTCAACAAACAATACATCACCGCAGTGCAAGTTTTGCTGAAAGAGTGCGTGTGTGGGCGCAAAGTGTCCACGTAATCTCCGTTAAACAAAGCAACGGCCCTGACCATTTTTCACTCTCTACGCAAGACCATCACCATCGGAATCTTCATCCTGTCACCATGCGAACGTGCCATGTCCCTAGGGTACAAAAACCTCCAAACTACCTTTTCCCTGAAAGGTCCATTCATCACAAGCTTGCCAGCCAGACTGCGGAAGATGCCTCAAGGTCACTTTCTGAGTCATACCTTGGCAACGATTCAATGCAGTTCGAGGATTGAGACCTACCAAGTCAAGGACGTCTCTTCACCGACCACATAGTGAGACTCATCACGGTCAGCTCTGATTCCAAAGCCAGGGTGAATTGTCTCCTGAAGGACTTCACAAGTGAGATTGAGTGGTGGCCACATGTGGCCGCGCCCTGTCAACAAAGGTGTACATACCCTCAGAGACATCCCACGCCATCCTCTCCGACCTGAAACCGTTCTGCATTTGCACGTCTTGAAAAGCCTTGAGAGTCGGCGTCGCCTGAATTTGTTCTTGATGGCGACTTTGTTCAGTACCCGGAAGATCGGCTTCTTGGGGTCGTCATAGTGAACAACTCCCTCGCCAGAACCATTGGATCATTGTACAAACATCGAACCAGTTTTGACAAACACCACCGCCTTGTAGCTTAAAAGCAAGCCATCCAAGCGGTTGTGATGATCATGCACTGTGTGTTGTGCCTGGCGTTCAAACTTGACAGTGCCATGAATGAATCGAATCCAACTGGTCGAGGCACCCTCCAAGCGCAAAAAAGCCGGTTTGGATGCTTGGCCTTGGCGCAAGAGCACAGCTGGGCAGTTACGATTGCCATTAGGAGAAACTCGGTCAAGCCCAGGAAAAAGCTTCAACAAGAATCATCTTCAATCCAGTCACACATTGCTCTGAGCAAAGTTTGCTGCAAAATCCAGCCTCGGTTGACATGTTTATCTTGTGACACTGAGCTCTCGGGCTATCAGATGCTCTCCTCTTACGTCCTACTTCATTCAGCCGCTTCATATTCTCAGTTGCAAGGGCCTTGACTGAGGGCACTGCTTTTTGCCACTTTAGAACTGCACCTTTGGACCTGCTCAACAGACTGCACCATGCTGCTCAGAATTACTCAGCATTTGTTTTCAATCTCTTGCTCTGCATTTTGCTGCGCTTTAGCCTCAATCGAAATCCTTCAAGGGCAGCCATGCCCAAACACAGCAAAGCTCGTCCTGCAGACCTCCAGTCCTTGCACTCTGAGTTCAATCTTGACGCAATTCACTCTTTAACAAGCTCCCCACCTATATAATACATGTTTGCAAAAGCACGGAAAGCTTAGGTAGCCTCTACCCCGAGTGAAAAGAGCCACTGTGTCCCTCCTGTGGGAAGACTGGCAACAAAGCTGCTGGAATCTTCTTGGTCTTGTAAACCTTTGCAATGCGGATCAGGTCTGAACATGAGGGAGATAGCATAAATGCATGCATATCATTGAAGTCCGAAGAACATTTACAATGTCCAGTCCGTCAAACTCACAATAAGTTGCACACTGGGTCATCCAAAGGTTTACCATGGTCCCATCGTCTGGAATAGCCAATGGGTGTGGGTGGCGCTGCCTAGCCGAGAGTTGATTCTTTGCATCAAGCGAAGCATGCTTGTTCGCTTGCTCCAAACCGTGCCTTGTTGACACTTCCACCCGCAGGTCCTGTCAACGCAGCAATCTTGACTACAAACAGTGCATGTCACACAGGATGCCAGTGCCTTGCTTTCCAGGCTTCACATCATATGGATCTGTCATGGTACTAGTCCTGCTATCTTAGTTGTCGCCTGGCTAGGTGCCCATGTTCAAACTCTGAATTGCAATAATGCTACCTTTGCCGAATAGTCACAAGGACTTGCCTGTCGGAAGATTGGATGCTAGTGCCAGTGTGTTGCAAGCTAGTTTGCAATGCTCTAGTGCTAGTGTGCTGCAAGCTGGTCTGCAATGCTCTAGTGCTAGTGTGCTGCAAGCTAGTCTGCAATGCTCCAATGATTACTGTGTGTAAACTGCAGAAGCAATATGAATCCATTAATCAATCCTGCAAGCAACCTGACATGACATGATGAAGCCAGGATCAAAATGGTAAAGGCTTTTTCTATGCTGCTCGTCCAAATCTCGGGTTCCGAATTCAGGCACCTTCAGTTGGATTGCAAGCGTTCGCAGGAAACATCGTTGGCTCAGTTGTTTGAAGAAGGCTTCAACCATTGCTTGCATCTGTCAATTCAATGGCCTTCTGCGGCACTTCCTGCAAGCTCTTCATCCTCACCGAGCTCCTGATCCAACATCATTCTGTTTGTTCAACTGGTTCCCCTCTCAAAGCCCATGATTCCTAAAGTGAGACTTCATAAACCTGAAGATGCTTCCCAAAACCTTCACCCATCCTCTGTTTGATGTTCTGACTTTTTGTCACATCTGTACACATTTCCTGCACCTCTGTCTTTATGGAATACATGGTCATGCAAACTGTTGGCAGATCCTGCTTCTGCTTTTGTGTCGCCGAGTTGGCTGCCGCATAACCACAGCCTCCAGCTCTACTCGACAGTGTGTAACAGCTCTGCTCGAAAACACAAACACTGCAGTTCGACTAAAGACGTCTGAAAAGTTGGGCGCCCACCAAGTCCAGCGAAGAAAAGGCCGAAGATTCGAGCGTGGCTGATCCTGTATCCCCTTCGGTGCCTCGGAAGCAAGGCTTCACAAGGAAAGGTTGAGTGATGCATAATAATTCGGAAAACATGCCACGCGCACGGGTAGAAGGAGTGGTGCGGCACATTCGGGAAGACCATCTTGGGATAGGCATCCCTGAAAGGAACGAGATTCCACAGCCTGAAACGTTCCTGTCGAAAGCACTGAGACATGGACTCGCCGACATCAGGCTCTTCAGCACTAGCTCCATCCCCATGCGTTTCCGTGCATGCACAGGTCTGGCCTTGGTAGTGCTGCAACAACTTTGACTTCAGAATACAAGGCAAGACTTGTGGGACAATTAAAGGCCCACTCTAAATATGCCAGGTCGTAGTTTTTTGCATAGTATTAATTCTGCTCCAGGCTAGTCTTGGCTACTTTGGGCCATAGCGGGGCCACTCCTGCTGGTCCTCTGCTTTTGCAAACAAATTAACCGGCTCGTAGTTACGCATGTTGTTTGGGCTGCTGTACGTCTAATGTGGCAAAATGTGCCATACAGCAGGCTGCTGGGTCATAGTGTTGAAGTACGCTACCCTATTGCCTTAGATCACCTGGGTTGTTGAATGATTGCACAAAAGTGCACCTTTTAGAGGACACGTAATCTGCGTCATTGCCAACATGGTATATTCTTGTTACAGGGTTGGCTCACGGGTGGGCCACAATCAAGCCCATGGGGCACAGCGCTGTTGGCTTCAGTGATGTTGCTTTGCAGGTCAACTTTTGGTCTTGTGACTCTATGTTGATACTCATTGATCTGTTACATTGCATTGCCAGGGCAACCTACAGCTGTTTGGTTCGTCTATGTTTTTTCTTTTGGTATGGCACTAAATCCATATTTGTGCCCTTTGAACTGCTAGTGTTGAGCCCTGCTGGTGCTCTTTGGAGGAGGTCCATTCAGCCTGACTAGTGTCCTCAGGGGACACCATGGTGCCATCCATGGCTGCTTGAGGCAACCACATAAGCAACAAGACTTAAGGTTGCTGGCAACGTGATATTTTTAGACACCAGTCAAGAGAGTCAGGCGCAACCTTTGCCAAGCCCCAAGATCACAACACAACATGATGTTGCACGGACAAACTGTGTTTCTAGACATCATATAAGAATAGGAACAAACCTAGGGCCTTGTTCAACCTCTTGGCATCTCTTGGCAAACTAGGCCATGAATTTAGCAGGTTGCCGAAGCATTTGTCAACAAAACCACAGCGCTATTGAATTCAAGCCTACGATATATATTCCTCAATTGCACATCCGCAGAATTCGATGCCCGTTTCTCCATCATGCCATAGTGGCACATGTACATGACTTTGGACCTCATTTGAGTGTGGCAATACTTGCAGGTACTTCTTCTTTCTACCTTCGCTCTTCTTCTCTCCGACTGCGTCCAGCAATTAATCTCATATGCTTGACAATGCCACAAGCCCCGCACATGGAGAATCATTTCCTTCACCCCACCCATTCGGGGGTGGCAAACCACCTCGACAGCCGGTCTCGCCGGCACAATGTCTCCCTTTTGACATGGGATACAAGTCTTGACCAAGTGAAAGCGACTGTCGTTTTGAACTTCCTGAACAGTTAAAAATAGACGAAGGCTTCTTGTTTTAATTGTTATTGTTTTACTATAACTGATGCATGTCGTTCGCCTGGCGGAGCTAGATCAGCCTCGTTGAAGAAGGATGCTGCATGGCGCTTAGCACTCAAGCGCTTCTGCAGCGTCACAGAGAGTTTGTTTTGTCATCAAAGTTTCTTTGTTTCCAAACACTACTTAGAACAACACTAATTGTTTCCAATGGTAAACATTTCAAAGTGAACCGAGAACAAACTACTTGTCCCAGCCTGCACTGGGCCACCTTGGAGCTCAAATTCAACACTGCCAAGACTGTTGTCTGGAGTCAGCTCTGCTCACCTAAATAACAGGCCAAATCTTGAAGGTCTCCAGAACCTCAGCTTTGCTAGCTTTCCATGGCCAACCTCTGAGGAGGACTCCCAGAATTCATGTTCTATAAAAAGAAACGGCAGTTTTAGAGCAACTCTGTGCATCTTCTATTTCTTTTGTGTTTTATCTTTGCCTCTCAGCTAAGGGCGCAGTCGCCTCAGTGTTCAACAGCGAGGCATAGCCGTTTTTACAGGCTTGCTGATGGTCCTCTGGGGCCCTTTCGGGACTGTTGGCGACGAGAATGACAAGCCTCATGGACACCGCAAGGCTCATGCCACAGTCTCATGGATTCCACGTGGATTCCTACAGTCACACATTTTAATCTTCAAACAATGCCTTCTACGTCCCTCAAGCATAGCAACAAGTTAATGACTGCGTTGTTCTTGGGCATACATGTATAGATAATCTATATATATATAGTATTTTTTGATCACTGGAAATTGCCACCGGCCATTGCAGCTTAGCGTTTCAGGGGCAATCCTAAACCTGCAATAATGGGTGCAGCGCCTGTTTCCGCACCATCTTGACCAAGCAAAGAAAGGCGCATGGCTAAGAACTGCAAGCTCGCCCAAACTCCCAAATCGTATGACGTGTGCAGTCATGCAAGTCTTGAGATCATACACGTTGCTAAGCTTTCCTGCAACTTGCAATGGCTGGACACATGGAATGTCTTTATACATCTCTGCCTTCAGCTACATGCACGGCATATGACCTTCCATGTGACCAGAATTGGAGCATTTCATCTGTGCTCGCTGGCTGTCGAACCCCCCCAATTATCTCTCCCTTGAGCCATGCAATCCACAAGCACAATTGAGAGACTGCTTTGAAGATTGGTGATGAAGTAAGTAAAGCTGAAACACACATTCTCGTTCTTTTTATATCAGCTTCTTTCAATTCTATTCCAAGACCTGGGTATCTCTTCCAATTCCGAAGGTTCGTGATTCGTCTGCAAACTTTCAACGAAGCGAATACGTCTCGGAAACATCCGACTCACCATACAAAACCCAGAAAGATCCTTCGACTAGAAGCATATTGTTTTGGTTATGAAACCGAAGAGTTTCATCCAGATTTATTCACATGCGAAAGTCAAAGTGGCTTGAGTGCATGACATGTTGATGATATACTTGAGAACCGTGCGTGAGGATGCGTGATGCTGTGATGTGGCGCATGGTGTTTTGTCATGTGACATTGACATTCCTGGCTTCCTTGCCAAATAGCGCCAAGCTCAAGGCTCCAGCACCTCCCTACATATAAAAAGGTTGGAGGCCATTGCTATTCTAGTTTCAATTCCCCACATGTAGCGTGCTATGGTCATAGCTAACTCCCGCACCATGATCCTCTGTGGGAATGGGTACGGAAGGTCGGTGAGAGAAGTAATGACAGAAATTACCACTGTACCCCAATTGGAACTGGCTCAGATATGATAACGCACAGAGGAGCCTATGTGAAGAAATATGAATTCGACAAGGCTGACTAAGACCAACTCACCAGCTTTGATTCTTGCATGACATTCGGAGAGCAATGACATTGAGGGGCCTTGGTCTCCAAAATGCAGGTAGTTGGAAGACACGTGTGCATCGTTTGGCTGTGTTTTGGAAACGGTCATTGGAGTAGAGATGTGGTGACTTGATGAGAGATTCTGATGGAACAAAGAGGCAAAGTGCAGAAACCATTCGAGACGCATTGTCCCAAAAGTATTGCATTGCAGAAGCCGTAATTGTGTCCTTGACCCTACTCCCAATAAATGAACCACCTTGTTGCTTGTCAATCTGTGGGATATTCAACGAACAACATTATTTAATCAAATTTTGGCAAACGGGTCGGATGGGCCAACATAGGCCAACCTAAGCCCAGTATCCAGCTGGCCAGACTCAGCAGGACTACAAGACCATCATGCAGGCAGTGGAGCAACTTGTTGAGCGCCATGACACCCTCAAAGGCAAGCACGCAAACACACCAACGCTCCAAACCAAGACTGGATGGTCAGAATTCATCATCGTAGAATTCTTTACGAAGGACGTTCGCAATGAGGTCGTCGAACTTGTGAAAAAGATACGCCCTGCACTGTCAAGGACAAATAGCAGTGGGTCGAGCACAAATGGAGAAGCAAACCAGCCTCTCAGACCCTTGCCGTTTTCGCACAACTCACTGGAAAACAGCACCGCTATCTTTACCGATTCTTTCTCACCACAAAGCAGTGCAACCGAGTGCAACTACTGGACAAAAATACATTGTCCTGCGGGAAACATTTGGACACAAACACCGAAACGTGTGTAGCGTTATCTTTACAGGAAAGGTCGGCCTTTTAAGAGGGCTTGGCCTCCCACTGGAACCCCAGTGGGTAGTATACGTTGAAATGATTCGCATCTATCGTTGATGCACTGCATGACACGATCATAACATCGGAATCATGGCACAAAACATCAGTTGACCACTGATCACCCCATCACTCAACGAACATCGTTGCGTGACGCTTCATTACTCAACCACTATTTTTAGTCTATAATAGTATAGTTTGTACGTCTTGAAACTTCCGCCTTCTGGCTCAGCCGGAATAATTACCTTATACCGCTTACTGAACTTCGAAACCCACAATGACACCCGGCCCATCTGCCTGGCATCGCAAGGATCTTATGAATTGGAAGCAATTGAATTGCGGAAGCAAGTTCCCACGTGAAATCCAGAACGTGTTCTGTGTCTGGCATGAGATGGTCATGCCCAAACAATGGCTGGACAAGTGTCCCAGACCTTTTGGGCACAGAATGCTCAAGGATTTGGGAACGACATGTAATGACCAGAAACAAACTTTGCATTGCGTGGCAAAACGGAAGACCGAGAGTTTGGCTGCCATGTAGCTTGTAAGCCCTGTTTGTCCCCTTCTTCGGCAAATTTACACAATTTTACTTTTGCACGGAGCCGATTCAACTGCAACATCAAACTCCACCTGGTTATTCAAAGTGTTTGTGCCCGTTGAAGGGAACGGTGCGACCAAGCCAGTTTCACTTCGTGTTTGTTTTCGTGTTTGTTTGGATCCCACCATTTAAAGTGACCAAAAGGTCGTAATCAGGATCTTTTTGTTGATTTTGTTGATTACGACGTTTACTTAGATTTGCAGAACTGAGAAGCTTGTAGCTTGTAGCCGTGGAGTCTGGGCAATGACTCTGAAAAATCTCCGCTCAGCACAATCTGTCAACCATATTGATGGGCCACTTTGCAGAACGGATCCAACACTTGTCCAGTTTCTGTTTTGGGGTCTTTGTGGGTGCAGCCAACGCAAACCCTCGAAGGTATCAACTTCGCAAGGCAAGGGACACTTGTCTGCTAAATCAAACACCATTTTGCATTTATATAAAGGGCTTGTGTCCGAAGCCAACCGTTTTCCGCAGCGGGCACTCGCTTCCAGATTCCCATGTAGGGCTTTCATTCCTCAAAGTGCTTCTCTCACCTCCTCTTAGTGCTGCAACCTGTAACCCGAATTACAACTTGTGCCTCTGCCTTCAGTGATCAACGTCAAGATCTTTCGGGATTGTCACGAGCCGGTAACTTTCCTTCGCTTGCTTCAGGTGCCACTCCATCAATGGATCAGTGACCCTGTGAGCGTCATCGCAAAATATGTTTTAAACCAGAGTGAAACCTACCAGGATGTCCAAACAGCCACCCTGCTTGGATCAGGCAACCATCGTGCCTGCGAGCAGGTCCTGCTAAATTAAGAACCGGATAAGACCCAGTGAATAGTTTACATTTCATAACGTATGGAAACAAGTATTACACTGCTGACATCAAGGAGGCGTGCCAAAGCCCGTCAGAGCTGTTGCGGCTGTTGCAGGTGTGTTGGGCAGTGTCCGCACATGCGGGTACGGCATTTTGTGCATTGTCTGCGCGTGTAGAACTACAATCTATGAGCGGTGTCTGCAAGCCCGAAATCCCATTTTACTGCATGGATGTTCCACCAAGTTCATAAAACACTTGCTCTTTTCTCGCACTGCAAACATGTTTGTTGAGATTTGCTGTCCACAGCCCTCCATAGCCACCAGGCCCTCCAACAAAGCCGAACATAAACGAGCCGACCATGGGTGGTGAGACCTCCCACCATGCTCCCAGCCAGTTTTGTTCATTTGGGCACCTGCAGAGTCCACTCTTGGCAGCCAGTTGTGAAAATGGTCTTTTCACACATCGTTGCATTGAACATCGAATGCCATTTAAGCAAGTTGCATAGACCCGGTATGGACAACGGCCCCTGTTGCGTCGCGGTGGCTTTCCGCCACTTACACAAGCCCAGTTGACCGGGGCTTTTGCTTGTGCAAGATCATACAAGTGATGTCAGTCCACTTCAACTCCCAAACAAACTTCTCATGGAGGTGTTGGCAACTGATCAATCTTAAACAAATGCTTGCATGTCAAAAATGTCAACCCCTGCCGGGTGCAACTCATTTTGACAGCTGTACGTCAAACGGCGTCAGGAGGAAAGCTTCAGCGCTGTCCAAGCTGTATACACTGTCGCAACGCTCAAAACCTCTGATTTGCCTCTTCTGAGCAAATCAAAAATAGAGTCACTTAACTTCTAAAAACTTTTTGGTGATTCCGTACCTGACTTGGGCAAGCGCAAGCGTACAGCGTACTTTACATGGTTTTAAAGTCATTTGTCCAGCCTTTGCTCCAAGAACTGGGCCAACTCTTGGTCAACCTTCATTCGTTGACGCAGCTAATAAACATGTTGGCTGATGAATACGGATTCGCCGAGGACATGGAATATGACAGAATGAACAGTTCCTTCAAAGCTTTTGCAATGAACAAGATCATGCAACAAAGTGGCATGCCCTTGAAGTTGCAACATCTTCTCCTTCACCTTGCCACAGGTATGAGTATGCCACATTATGGTCATTTGGACTTGAGGATTAGATAGGATTACAATATTCATGGCTTAGCTCTCAACATTTTTCCCTGGCATTTCTTCGATATAAACCGTGCAGTTGAGCTTGCGCTTCAGCTCGTCGCCCAAAGCCCTCGATCGTTTCGAAGAGCTGAGCATGAAACAAGAATTCACGCGCTTCAAACACATATTTAACTAGTTTAACTCCAAGAAATCATCAAAATCTTTAAAGCTCACCGTTTGAGTTGCTGACTCAGGATCCAGGCCGTAGGCCTTTGAGGCAGCTTTGTTTACATGCATTTGATAGAACATCGCACAATTTGATGCCATTCGATCTACCCCTCAAGGTTTCAGCTGGTACTACACTGCAGCCTCCAAGTTACAAATCCTTGTGACGTTGTGGGCGCCTTTTCTTGACCTCATTAAATGACGTTCCAGATTTTGGAACATCGAACATGCAAATGCACTTTTCTGCATGATCGTATATTTTATGGTTACTTTGAAACACCGCCTTCCACCTTCCCTCCTACCCTGCTAACACAGCCATTCAGGTCCTATCGACTGGACAGGATTTGGCTGGTATCTTGATTCACAGACTTGCTGCTCATGTGTGGCCAGGTGAAATAATGAAAACAAACACGAAAGCACTCAGTGACAGCGACAGCTGGACAAGACCCTTGCTTTGCTGGAATTTGCTGCAGAATTTTAGTC